GGTAGAGGAGGAGGGGGCAGAGGAGGGGGCGGGGTGGAGGTGGAGGAGGAGGTGGAGGAGGAGGTGGTGAAGGAGGTGCTGTAAAATTTAGAGGGGCCAAAAGCGAGGGGCCACCCGATCCGGTCAGGTTGGAGGCCCCCAACCCCCCTTCTACTCCCGCCAGTTCTCGGCAAAGTGGACGTGCGATGTACGCGGGAAAACACTACATAATTTTGCAAAGCGAATTCGTGCGACGGGGGTTCGATTCATTAGATTGTCTAGATTTTCAGTTTCCAACAATATATGAAAAAGTCTGATGTTCTAAAGTGCCGATTTTATGGATTTTGAGATAATTGTGAACTTTCCAAAACATTCCGAGAGAACACCCATACTATAGAATTTAAAATTGACCCTGTACCACGTGTTAGAGCTACGACACAACGGTGTGGCGGGTTTGCATACCCAAACCTAGGGGCCATGGCGCATGCCGCCTTCCGGGTGGAGCGAGTAGACTAGGGTAGACAAACCCGCATGGTGACACGGTATGGTGAGTTGAGTGGTTCGATAGTTACAACAATGATGAAATAGAAGTACACTAGGCGATTCGAACTGCCATAACGGCGGTTGCTGTGTTTGTTTCCAAACAATCACAGCTGAAAGGTTATATTCGATTCGGCTTTTCAGGGACCAATGCTATGACGACCATGGCGACATGGTAACGACGCCGTTCAAAGAGAAGCGGGAGCGGGCACTGGGAGCGGGGATTTGGAGGGTGGAACATGGAGAGAGGGGTACCCCACCCCCCAACCCCACCCCCAACATCGCCGCAGCCCCTAGGGCTGAGCAAGGCGCAGCAGCCCACGAGTCACACAACAGCCCCCCCCGCTACTCGCCGCCCCCCTCCACCACCGCTGCTACCACCACCACCACAGCGGCGGCAGCGGCTCGCCCGCGGCGCGCCCTCTCTTTCCCTCATTCCTTTCTTCCGTTTTTGTACTTTCCTGATATTGATTTTTTTTCCCGTTCCGTTCGTTTTCCGCGGCGGCAGCGGCGGCGGAGCCGGGCCCAATCGGCTGGCGGCCTGATACGCCTCGGCCCAAGGTATATTGAGGATACATTTTTCATTCATTCCACGCTGGTGTGCGGCCCGGCAGCGCAAGCCAGGCAGCCCCCAAAATTTCGCAGAATCGCGGGGTGGCGTGGCGTCGCGTGGCGCGGGGCCTGCGCCGAACCACACACCCACTCAAGGGGGTAGGCTGAGGAGAAGGGGGGGGGGGAGGGGGAGGCAGCCAACAATCGGGTCATGGAATGGCAGCAGTAGCAGCGCGGCAGTGTAGGAGTCCGTCTTGCTGGAGAAAGAGAGGGATGGGTGCGGGGAAAGGGAGGGGAGGGGGAGGCGGAAGGAGAGAAGGAACGGAGCGGTGGAAGAGGGGGAGGGAGCGACTTTTGAGGGGGGAGACGGTGGTGGGAGGGAGTATTGGAGGATGGGGATATGTAGGTGAATTGAGAATAGCGCAGGGCGCGCGTCCCCCCCGCGCTCTGATATGGAGTGACTGACAGATGACAGCCAATGACAGATTTTTTTCCCCCAATCCCACCTTCATTTTTTCTGTTTTTGTTCTTTTTGCTGTATTATAAAAGTCGCTCTGCATTATGACGATTTTGGACGGCAGTACAGTATACACTACTACTCCCCCCAAAGTATAGCAAGGCAGGGCAGCCGGCGCGTGCCAAACGACCGAGTACACAAACAACAACGGAAACCAGTAATTTTTTATTTCAACTTTTGTTTTTTTCCTGTTTTGAAGGGGAAATAAGTAGCGTACAGGGCGCGAGGGGCCTCGCGGCCGGGAGAGTTTGCCACCTCAGTCTTACACGCGAGCACGATGACCTGCTGATAAAAAAAAACACACACACACACACAAAAAACGCACACGCACGAACACAAATAAGTTTCATCCAGCCCGCGTACCAGCATATGAATTTGTCGATCAACGGTTTCAGGAGAAAAAAAATATAGGCAAAGTAACATTACACTGATAAACTACGTCTGTAACTGCTTAACTAGTGTGCAACTGGAAGTTAAATAGTTGCAAGTGTCCAACCGCGTAGTTGTAAACTGGCAAGTCTTAAACTCCGTAGGTGTACACTTACAAGTGTGCAACTCCTCAGTTGAGCACTTCCTGAGATTGAAGGCTCACTGTTAGGAAGTGCTTACTTGAGAAGTTGCACACTTGCAAGTGCAAAACTACAGAGTTGCACACTTGCAAGTGCAAAACTACGGAGTTGCACACTTGCAAGTGCAAAACTACGGAGTTGCACCATGATAGTAGGTCCTAATATCATAGTTGCACACTTAGTTCATCAGCGATACCAAAAATCAAAGTTGAAAATAATAAATAAACTGACAGAAAAGAAAAATTCTGAAGTTTAACAACAACTCGCACGAAGGAGAAACACGGGCAATCAAAACAAATGCGACGTGTTCTGTTCCAGCGGCCGCCTCCGGTCGCCACGCCGCCGCCCTCGGCGTGTGAATATTAATCAATGTCCAATCGAGGGCCGCGACCTTCGTTTTCCTCGAATTCACTCACTCGCGGCAGAGCGGG